TTGAGCGTCTACCCCCTGGTGGTCATTGCACATCATAGCTACTGGTCGGATGGTCGCTTGGGTTTTTATATAGAGAGATGTTTCTGTGAACATTGGTGTGGTGTACAAATATCTGTTCAAGTCTCTGCTTTTCATTCTTTTGAATACCCAGAGGTGGGATTGCTGGATCATGTGGTAATTTGGTGTCACCTTTCGAGAAAGTGCCACACTGTTTTCAGCCGCAGCTGCGCCATTTTACATTCCCACCAGCCATGCACGGGGTTCCAATTTCTCTACATCTTCACCAATGTTTATTTCCCCTTGGCAAAATTATAGCCATCCTTTCTCTCATAGCTTTATGGCCACCATGACCAATTCCTGAATTAATTATTGGTTAAGTGAATGAGATCACCATGATTGTCTCAAATCAGTCAGGACTCATGCCCTGTGTAGTGTCCATTTCCCTGAAGGACATGTTACAAGGAGGACAGATGCATATCTGAACAAAGTCAGTGCATTCCAGCAAGAAAGAAAGGATGTGGGTGGATTATAGGGAGGCTACCATTAATGTTGGCAATGGAGAAGCATTAAAAATGTCAGTGCCCAGACCAGACATCCTGATTCAGTTGGATTCAGTTGGTCTGCAGTGAGTTCCCATCCTCAGTCATTTTTAAATGTTTGCCCAGTTGAGATTACAGAATTTGCTCAGTGAGATTACAGAATTTACTCAACATCACACAGCCAGGAAGTGGCGGAGTTGGGTAGTTACTACAGGGTGGGGCAAAAGTAGGCTTACCGTTGTGTGTATACGAAACACAGAGTTAATTCTTGTATTATTATTTATTAATTATTGTATTATTTTTTCCTTAACTGTAAACCTACTTTTGCCCCACCCTGTATTCTCTGATGCTTTACGACATGAAAGTACCATTTAGCAAAAGGACAGAGCAATATCACTGGCCCCTCTCCAGCCTCCCTCCCGCCCACCAGTTGAGGAAAAATCTTTTACATGAGGAAGGGTTCGGTGCGGGAGGCTTTGTGGCACTGCCCTGTGGAGCCTTGACGAGGGCGTTCAGATCTGAGTGTTTTTAAGCAAGGACGGTAGGAAGCCATCTCAGCACTTGTTTGGGGGCAGGAAGGCCAGTGACTGCATGACGTGCAGAGCAGCTGCTCGAGGGGAACGGCAGGCAGCAGGAAGGAAGATAGGCTGCATGTGTTTGAAATACTTGGGGAGGATTTTTACAGCTGTCACTGGCAATCCCACCCAGACTCGCCTAAACATTCCTTCCTGTTCCATCCGTTACAGTGAACACATAAAGAGGAACCCTAGCAGAATACAGGAAGAGCAATCAGAGAACAACCCTATAATTAGATCCGCCAAAGCTTTGTTAGAATGAGGGAAGTGATTTTTAAAGAGCGTCTTTTTTTGAGGAAGAGGAAATTTGGTGGACGGTGGCTGTGCCAGGAGGTGAAACCCAGGCCTTTTCCTCCCCCGGCTTGGGAAGCCACACGGCTGGCGCTGTCCCTGCACCGGGACCAGCCCCCTGGGGGAGCGGAGTTTCTGGAAGCAGAGCCCAGGCAGCAGGTGGCTTTCCTAAACAGTTCAGAGGGAGGAGGCAGGGCCAGGGCAGGAGTGGAGGGGGATTCCATAGGGCCAGGCAGAGCGAGGGCCTGGCACCTCCCGAAGCCCAGGGGGCCTGACACACTTAGGCTGGTGCCCAGCACAGAGCCAGTCCTCAATACGTTTTCTTTTCAAGAACAAAACGAGGGGCTGAGACAATGGCTCGAAACAGGACTGGGAGAGGCTCTTTTCAAAGGTCCTGGTGGTAACCCAGAGAGTAGAGGAAGGGACAGAGCCACTTAGGCTGCAAAATGCCTTCTGTTGGCAACGTCCAGCCGCTTGCTCTCCTCCTCAGAGGTGCAGACAAGGAGCTGCCGCAGCGGCAGTCTTGGGTTCTGGGCATGTCTTCCATGTTCCCTTCAGAGCACCTGCTTGTGCACATGCTCACCACCAGCCCCAGGCCCCTGACAGGTGCCTGCACGCTTCACCCAGATCCCTTCTTAGCTGATGCCCTCACCCTCCAGCTGCTGTCCTTTCTGGGAATGGCCCTTGCCCACATGGAATTCTGGGAATGGCCCTTGCCCACATGGAATTCTGGGAATGGCCCTGGCCCACATGGAGTTCTGGGAATGGCCCTTGCCCCTCTCAGGAGCGCCCTGAGACCAGTGGCTGCAGGATACAGGACAACTTCCAGTTTGAAACAACTCTACAGGGTCATCCAGCCCAGAGCCCCCACTGGACCTGGAGAAACTCACTGTGGGTGAGCGTCCCCAGTCATGCCTTCCAACCCTTCCCCACGGGTGTCTCTGGAGAGCACTCCCCAAAAGCCTCTGCCTGTGACTGTGGGGAGCCCACTCCAGGGCCCCAGCCCTTTGTTGTTTGTTGTCTTTGCCTCCTCAACCACAGCCACTTATCTGACCTCCCAGAAAACCTCTTTCTAGCCCAATGACTAGAAAGCAGGTGCTGATGAGTTAATATGTACAATAAAGTTATGGGAGCCGATACTTACGTGAAGCTAGCAATCTACAAAACATGCTTGCATATATGATTTCGTTTCCAAAGCAGTATAGCACGATGATCTCCAAAGTGAGTCTGTCCGGATTTGAATCTTGGTCCTACTACTTATTAGTCTTGTGACCTTGGGCTACATAACCTTTCTACTGCTCCACTTCCCATCTGTAAATGGCATAGTAGTGGTCCATTCCTCCTAGGGTTTTTGTTAGAATGAAATGAGTCAGTACTCGTAAGGTCTCAGAATAGTCATGATACACAGTAAGCCCATAGTGTATGTTAGTTATTAGTATTTGATCCTCATAAGAACTCCATGAGATATGATTAGTAACTGGGTTAGGCATCTCTTGTACCCCGCCTTGGACTCTTCCAGCCCACTTTTTCACTCCAGTCCTCGCTAAAGCCACCTGCTGGCACAGGTACAATCCAATAGCACCTTGCTCAGCTGTTCTTATTCTTCTTCTCCTCCTCCTCTTCTTCTCCTTTGCGTCCTCCTCCTCCTCCTCCCCCTCCTGCTTTTCTTTTGGAGTGGCTTAAAATTTTATTTTAAAAAGTGGGGTGGGAAAAAATTATATGAATGAGAATCTGCATATTTTTTGTTCCTATTTATTCTCCACATGCATCTACTGTGATAAATTGTAGCCAATAGCTCCTTTTTTAATGAACAGACTCCGAGGAGGAAAGAAAACCTCAAACCAGGCACCTTACAAAAAGCTCTCCTTTTCTTTCTGGTCTTGGGGAAAGAGCTTCTAACTTACTACTAGCTAATAAAGTTAGCCTTGAATGAAAAATTCAATAGGTGTGAGACTTAGCCTCTGTGGAGTGCAGCTGTCCCTTCTGGGGACCACTGAGAGCCGGCACCCTGACGAGGCTGCAGTGATCCGCTGTGTGCTAGTCCTTCTTGCAGGAGAGCAGATCTTAGGATCTCTTTATACTCTACTGCCTAGTTATAGCAGCGCATCACATACCCATCATTCATTCCCTAATGCAGATGATGGCACACGCATCTGCTCAAGACACTTGGAAAGAGAGTGCTAGAAGAGAAAGAAAAAAGAGCCTGCTTGGGGAATGCGTGAATCCACAGTTGACAGCGGTTCACCATGTGTTCCCGCAATCTTGCAGCTCCTGGCTGCTTCTCTGTACTGCTTATTTCTTACTTCCTGCCACCTCCACCTGAGGGGCCTGCGGAACACATTCAGACATTCTGACCCAAGCAAACGTGGAAGTGTGATGGAGCTAATACCCCCGTGTGGCATCCCTATAGTCCCTTCTTTTTTGCCCCCTCAAGGTCCACCTTCATTGCCCAGAGCAGCGGGCACCTCAGGCTTGGCTTGCCCTCCTTCCCTGTCTCATTCTTCCCAGTTGCCCACTCCTATGTATGAGCTCGGTACCCATAATATCTCCTCCTACACAATCCCTGCCTCGTGTCCTGTGTTATGGGAACCAACTAATTGCACAAGAGGAGCATGAAAGAATAAAAAGAGGCCTGTTCAATATCCAGAATCAGATCTTGATGCAAATCAAAGCCTCCCACCTGCCGAATCTCATGCCCTCACACCTCTCAGTTAATTCATGTGCATCTTAACAGAGGCTTGGAAGCTTGATTAGCCAATGGGAGGCCAGGGAGGAAACAGCTGTGAACAGGTGGCTCTGGACACTTCCCTGTCACAGACCCTCTCCTGTCCCCACATAGAGCTGGTCCTACGTGGCCAGAGCACGATGCACAGTGGTTCCACTTGACGGGAGCCTGGACCGGGATTGTGCTGAATTTGTCTTTATTTCACCAGCACTTGGGCCTCGCATACAGTAGGTGCTCAGTAACTGTTTGCTGGATACACAGGTTCAGAAATCAGACTATTGATGGTTTCTTTTTAATGATTACTTTTTATGTGCCCATGCCTGTTCCTATTTAGTGTTTATTTTTTATGCTGGTTTGGAATGTGAAGTTTAATGGACAGAGAACATTCTGGGGAGAGGGTTGTTTCTGTTTTTACCAAGCTAAGTTAGCACAGAATCATGTGTCTGAGAATTATTCCAGATATACTGAATACTTCTTGAAATTATTCCAGAAAACCTAATTGTTGATGAAAGAAATAGCTAGGAGCTGTCAAACTGGTGGCTTATAGGACAAATATAGCCCTAAGACAAATGGGTTTTGCCAGCACAATGTTTATCATTTTATATTGAAATTCCCTTGAAATATGCTATAGGCCCTACCACTCCCTGTAGCATCCTACCTGTCCTAATTCTCAAATCTGTGTTACTCACATAGACCTTGCAGGTATATGGGTTTGTGGTCCCTGCACAGTGACACACAGCAGGGTATTCTGTATACAGAAAGAATGGAAGCTGCTGACCAGCACAATTCCTGACTTGTCCGGTAGCTTGCTCAGCCTTTCCCACTGCCATCGGCAGGTGCCCACTGATAGCATAATGCCCTGCCTTCCAGGTACTACAAGATCTCCGTGGTGCTCATGTGCTTTGTGGTCCCCACACTGGTGCCCTGGTACATCTGGGGAGAGAGTCTGTGGAATTCCTACTTCCTGGCCTCCATCCTTCGCTATGCCATCTCACTCAATGTCACCTGGCTGGTCAACAGTGCCGCCCACATGTATGGAAACCGGCCCTACGACAAGCACATCAGCCCGCGGCAGAACCCGCTGGTCACACTGGGCGCCATTGGTGAGTAGGGTGTGAGAGCCAATGGGAAGAAAGGCAGCTCGATTTTCTTGGCTTCTCCTGGTTTTGCGGAATCTGTAAAGAGAGGCAGTGGAATGGAATGGAATGAACTTGGGCCTTGATGTTAGAATCCTGGCTCATGGACAAGTTACTTAATCTCTGATTTACGGTCTTCTGACCTGTGAAATGGGAATAGCAATGCCTTCTTGATAGGGATGTCACAAGGATTAAGTAAGATACTTTTTTATGTAAATTGCTTGGTACAGTACCTGGCACATAGCAGTGATCAGTAATTAGTAGGGATTTGTTTTGCTGTGGAAATGTACTTACGGGAGGGTAGCAGTTGACTTCTCTCTCCAACTGCCTGGACCACTCTAGCTCAGCTGTCCATTTGGCTGATCATAAAAAAAAAACAGGCTTCAAATAAGGAGATGGGAAGAAATGAGACTGTGGCATCTCTGGGCACCACAAAACGGTTAAGAGTGAGGCTTCGGGAGTCCAACACGTTTGGTAGAGCCCTGGGTCCTTCACACACTGTCTGGGCAAGTTATCTGGTTCCTCCACACCTCATGTTCTCCTCTGTAAAGCGGGAATAATGGTAGCACTTACCTCCTCCTGGGGTTGTTGGGGGTTAGATAAATTAATACATAGCGTTTGCAGCAGTACTTAGCACAAAATAAGCCTCTAGTGATGTTTTTATTACTAACCATATGGTCTTGGGCAACTGACTTGTCCCTTCTGTGCATTTACATCCTCATTTTATTTTATTTTATTTTATTTTTTAAATATATTTTATTGATTTTTTACAGAGAGGAAGGGAGAGAGATAGAGAGTTAGAAACATCGATGAGAGAGAAACATCGACCAGCTGCCTCCTGCACATCTCCCACTGGAGATGTGCCCGCAACCCAGGTACATGCCCTTGACCGGAATCGAACCTGGGACCTTCCAGTCCGCAGGCCGACGCTCCATCCACTGAGCCAAACCGGTTTCGGCTACATCCTCATTTTAAAATGGGGATGATCATCGCTCGGAGGTGTGAGGATTACAGGAGTTCATTCTCATTAGAGTGCTTAGCACCGTGAATGGCACACAGCAAGGGGCTAATAAGTGTAGCTCTAGCTCTGTAGAAGCAGTCGGGCTTCTTGGTGAGCTGAGCCTTGAGCACAGAGCTCAAACCCAGGAGGAGAAGTCCCTGCTGTTGAATAGGGATTGATCTCCGCATCCACCGCCACTTGCTAGGGTTTTCCATTTAAGACCCCGGGGATCTTTTGTTGACAAGATCATATCTAAGGTGGAATGACACCAGATTTAGCCATGGGATGACAGATAAGCAGAGAGAAAGGTGCCCTGGGAAACTGGAGGAAGAGTTTCCTGTCCCTCCTATTGCTTTCTCCTCCTGTCACCCTCCGTCTTCTAGAAGGACTCTGATGAGGGGAGCCATGTCCAGCGTTGACCCTGAGAGTGGACATGGGTGGGGACAAGAGAGACTGTTACCATTTTACATAGAGAAGGAGGTCCAAGAAACCCAAGGAATGTGGCCACGGCACACGCTATGAAGAGCTGGGTATTGGTTTTATGTTTACCCAGATCCACACTGGGCTTCCAGTCCTTGGAAGGCTCTTGTTACACCCAGCTGTACAGACCACTGACTATTTCTGAAAATACGGGGCCGGGGGGAGGTGCTAAACTTCTCTATACCATACTCTAGACCAGGAAAAAAACTAAAAATGACAAAGGTGGAGGGGCAGAGCAGAGAAGACCACATGAAGAAAGTTGCAGACTACAGATCAATCCATCTGCTGGACTCATTGTAGAGCAGAATCCTTCAAATGTGGTCAACAGAAGAACTATATGATGACCTATAGCCACTTAAGTAGTAATGGAAGAATCGTGCAGTTCTTTAAATAGTAAAAAACAGTGACTATGTAACCTAGCAACTCCATTCCTCGATTTATACCTAAGAGGAATGAAAACATACGTGCACACAAAAACTTGTATATGAATGCTAATAGCAACATTATTCATAATTGCTAAAAAATGGAAATAATCCAAATGTCCATCAACTGATGAATGGAAAATACAACTGCATAAATACAGTGGCACAATAAGTGGTATATCCATATAAAAAGAAATGAAATGCTGATAACTGCCACACCTTGAAAACATTATGCTAAGTGAAAGAAACCAGTCTCAGAGGACTACATAATATGATTTCATTTATGTGAAATGTTCAAAATAGGCAAATCTATAGAAATTGTATCAGTCTGGGTTCTCCAGAGAAACAGAAACTCTGTTTCTGTGTGTGCATGCGCGTAATGTTCCTCATAATAAATTTCCCTATATATAGACACAGTAGATATATCCTATTGTTTCTGTATATAGATAGAAAGATCGATTGATTTATCATGATTTAGCTCATGCTATTATGGAGGCTGAGAAGCCAGGATCTGCCATCTGCAAGCTGGAGACCCAGGGAAGCCAGTGATGTAATTAAATCCAAGGAGCTCAGAACCAAGAGAGCCAATTGTGTAAATTCCAGCCCGAGGGCAGGAGAAGATGAGATAGATGCCCCAGTTCAACCAGAGAGTCAGGAAAAAAAGGGCAAATTCCTCCTTCCATTTGTTCTAGTCAGGTCCTTAATAGATTGGATGAAACACACCCACACTGGGGAAAGTGATCTACTTTACTGAGTCCATTGATTCCAATGTTAATCTCATCCAGATATACTTTCATAGACACATCTAGAATAATGTTTAATAGGTAACCCTTGGCCTCGTCAGGTTGACAAATAGAATTAACCATCACAGCCTTGGCTGGTTGCTCAGTGGTTAAAGCATTGGCCCTCAGACCAAAGGGTCGCAGGTTCGATTCCCAGTCAAGGTTCATACCTCAGTTGCAGATTCCCCAGCCCTGGTAGGAGGCAACCAATCGATGTGTCTCTCTCACGTTGATGTTTCTCTGTCTCTCTCTCTCCCCCTTCTCCCTCCTTTCCATTCTCTCTAGATCAATGGGGGGAAAATGTCCTCAGGTGAAGATTTAAAAAAATTAGAATTAACCATCACACAGACAGAAAGTAAGGCTGGGAGGTGTGAAGGATGGTTGGGGGATGACAGCTCTGGGGTTTAGCCAATGAAAATATTACAATTCATTATGGTGATGGATGCACAAGTCTGAGCATTCTAAAAACCATGAAATCTTATACTTTAAACAGGTGAATTGTATAGTGAGTTATATCTAAATAAAGTTGTTTTTAAAAAATCAAATGAAAGAAGCTCTGAAAGAATCTCCCACCCCTACTGAAAATACTTTAACAAAAAGGAGGAAAAGCTATTCACTGGAAGGGATAGACTACTATAGAGACAGATTTCATATATTTAACGATCCAACCCTTGATTTACTTACCTATTGGAACAATTCTCATTTATTTCTCCCAGGCTCTCCCAAGGTCTCACTCTAATCACCCTAGTCCACAGAGGCTGTTTTCCTTTTATGAACATACTAGAGGCCCGGTGCATGAAATTCGTGCACGGGGGGCGGGGGGGGTTGTGTGTCCCACAGTCCAGCCTGCACCCTCTCCAATCTGGGACCCCTCAAGGGATGTCTGACTGCCCGTTTAGGCCTGATCCCACTGGATCAGGCAGTCAGACATCCCTCTCACAATCCAGGACTGCTGGCTCCCAACTGCTCGCCTGTCTGCCTGCCTGCCTGCCTGCCAGCCTGATCACCCCCTAACCACTCCCCTGCCAGCCTGATCAATGCCTAACTGCCCTCCCCTGCAGTCCTGATCACCCCCAACTGCCCTCCCCTGCAGGCCTGGTTCCCCCCAACTGCCCTCCCCTGCTGGCCATCTTTGACCACATGGGGGCGGCCCTCTTGTTCGTTGGAGTGATGGTCAATTTGCATATTACTCTTTATTATATAGGATATCAAAATGATGGTCTGTTACCAGCCTCTCAGCACTTAGCTTAAGAAGTACAGCTCTGAAGTCATGGTAGTGTGTCTCCATTCATAGAGGAAACTATCTAGTGACTTTATGCTGATAACTTTGTTGTTATTTTGTTCACATTGAGTTGTTCTAGCCAACTAAGTAAAGCTTCCTAAGGGCAGGAACCAAGTCTTTTGCTCTCTAAAGAGCCTGCCACAGTGCCTGGCACATGGTAGATCCTCAGTAGATGAGTGATTAAAATAGCCATGCAGAGAGGTGGTGAATGGTTTATTTCAATGCTCCTTTCTCTCCCAGGCGAAGGCTTCCACAATTACCATCACACCTTTCCCTTTGACTATTCTGCGAGTGAATTTGGCTTAAATTTCAACCCGACCACCTGGTTCATTGACATCATGTGCTGGCTGGGGCTGGCCACTGACCGCAAAAGGGCAACCAAGCCGATGATCGAGGCCCGGAAAGCCAGGACTGGCGATGGCAGTGCTTGAACCCGGAGCTGCCGTCCAACCTGCCCGCCGCTGACACCGTGGCTCATGCCTTCTGTTTCTATAGTTCTCTTGCTCATTGGTTCATGGGAGGGGGCGGAGGGTGGGAGGGAGTGGAATCCATGTGGTTGGGAGATTTTTCATTTGTCTCAAAGTCAAGATACAACTTTCAATGAAAAAAATGTATCAGTCAGTGTAACGATGATTTAACCTTAGATCTTGGACATGTGATTTAATCGCTGTAGCTACATATCAAACATACATTGTCTTGTGCTAGTACCTAGTGTTAACCCTGACAGGATGAAGGAATTTAATATTCTTTCCGTGTGATTCAGGAGAGCATTTTCTTTTCTGCCAATTACCCCAGCATTATTTTTAAACACACTATCTGAAGGAACAGAGACGCAAGGTGGCAGACAAAGGAGGGGGTCTAAGTAGTAACTAAAGAACGTTTCTGTTTTGTAATTATTGTTTTTGTTGTTTAACTTCGAGAATTGAACATTTTAAAAAAGGAGGCTACACGAAGTGGCTCTCTTACTATTTTTGCCCTATTACGGCTTGTTAATGCTCTACTGTCTCTGCTCCCCGAGGTCTGCTCGTGGCCCAGCTAGTTTTGTGTCCCGAGCTGTACGGCCAGCCGACCCTATAAATCAGTGGCTGGTTGGATGTTTGATTTTGCTCTCTTTGCTATCGTCATCTTAAAAGTATATAACTCGACGTGCCAGACACCAAATGAAGCTCAAATGAAGCTCTCATTTCAGTGTTTAGATGCCTAATTTATATCCAATTGTTCCCAGCCACTGATGCATGTACTTTGGCTGCTTCAGTAATATGCTAAAGAAGCATATTAATTTTCCACACCAGGCCATCAGATTTTACTAACTGACAGTTATCTAGAACTCAGTGTCTACTAATGTTTCACCTGCATGCGGCCTTCATTGGTTTTGCAGCAAAATATAAAGTGATCATTATGTATCTTCTGGATTTAAACATTTCCGTGTGTTAAGTTGCCTTGTAAAGAGCATGTTGAATTAATGGGACAGTGTGCCCTTTGTGTCAGATGTTAGAGCAAAAGAAAGGCTTATAGTGTTGGCATTGGAGCCCTTCAAAGACAGCTCATTTTAGGGATGATGTAGGATTTAAAAATCAAAATTTTAAAGTTTTGAAAAAGAAGCGATGCCAATAGGAGATTGTCATAATGAAGTTCTTCATCCAGCAGGTGTTTAACAGTGTTATTTTGCCATTAAAAATGTATAAACTATGAGTGATTTACAATAAATGAGTGTGAATTTGTTGGTGTTCTTGACCAGATACTTAAGTGTTGTTTAGAGAATGTTCTCTCAAGGGTGCCCGATGCTGACCGCATGGTTCACATTTGATTTGGGCTCTGGGCTAACAACAGCCCCTAAGACAGGGCCTCTCCTGTCCCATTGGCCTTAGGCACAACCAGAGGGAAAGTCAGCAGGTTACGCTTGGAATAGTTATTTAGAATCTTCTCACTGAAGGACATGCCCCAGTTAGTCCAAATAAATCCAGAACCTCACTCCTCTGACCTGGGTGCCAGGTCTCCATCAGTAGCAGTAGCATGAAGAAGATAAGGATGGAGGTGATTTTGATGAAAAAGTGGACCAAGCTTATATCACTTCAGAGTTCTCCATATTAACCTTACCTGTAGGTCTCAGCAGCATCGAAGAGAAGAAAGTAGCCCAGGAGGCATCAGTTTAAAGTGTGGAAATGTCCTGTTCCCCCGACAGGCATACTCTAGCCCAGGGGTGGGCAAACTTTTTGACTCGAGGGCCACAGTGGGTTCTTAAACTGGACCGGAGGGCCGGAACAAAAGCATGGATGGAGTGTTTGTGTGAACTAATATAAATTCAAAGTGAACATCATTACATAAAAGGGTACGGTCTTTTTTTTTTTTTTTTAGTTTTATTCATTTCAAACGGGCCGAATCCGGCCCGCGGGCCGTAGTTTGCCCACGGCTGTTCTAGGCCGAACCACAGGAAAGTACCATGCTAATCTGAGCCTCTCTGAACCTCAATATCCTCATCCATGAAATAGGAGCAGTACCGCTGATGCACATAACGCTGATAAACCTGGAGGCCCCGAGCACAGGGCCTGGGCCTCGTAGCTATGCAGGAGGTGGTAGCTGAGTGTGAAGAACGTGCCGGACACAAGACAGACATGGATGTAGTCACGTAACCGCAGACGAGTGAGGAGGACCAGCTCCTAGTTCTTATTTTGTTACTTAGTCGGATGGTGAAGGGTAGCGGACTTTGCCCAAAAGATGCCACTTGGACATAGGATTGTTTTGAGTGAAAGGCGCTTGAAAAGCAGCACGTGCAGGAAGGGGACTCTGACTCCCGCTTCCTGGAAGCAGGCGATGGAGCTCCCAGGTGAAAACCGTGTTCTTTGTAGGAGAGAAAAGACACATTCTCATCACCAGAGAAAAGGCTGAGAAATCCTTACCTTCCTTTAGCGCCTCCCTCCTCACCCATATGTTTTAGTTTCTGGCTCCCAAATGTGTAATAATAAAACGCGCATGCTTCTCTCCTGTCTTAGGTCAACTTAATCCTCGGGCCCAGCCAGCGACTGTAGGAGGGAGAAGGAACGTCTTGCACCCCTTCAATGGCCCTAACCTCTCAGAGCTTCAGCACCCCTTCTGTAAAGGAACCTGAAGGACTGGGTTATCCCGTCTGCTCTGCCCTTTTAGGAGTCATTCCTCTCTGTGTGAAGAAGCCCCCGCAGGCAGGCAGAGCCTTTGCCCCGTGCAACTCCGGATAGTCTCTTGCCTGTCCCTCTGAACCTCTGGCTTCTTTCCCGTGCCTTCCGCCAACAGAGGAGGACACGTCTGGCCTCAAGGTCGTTTAGGCTTCCGGCAGCTCCTATTTCTCCTCATCAGGAGCGGGGCTGGAAGGCTTGTGAAGGGAAGAGGTTGAAGCTAATGGATAGGAATGAGCTGTGGGGGTTGCCTGTGAGTCTCCTTTATCATTTCAGCCCTATCCCTGGTTACAGAGGAAACTGAAAGTCAGTCTGTGCTCAATGGCTCCTCGTGTGAAAAACAAGGAAGGAAAGAAATGACCTAACCTTTATGGTCCTTTTAAACATTTCCCCATTTTTAGTTCAGGGTATTAGTCTAAGTTCCCTCCTTGCCCTTCCTCGACGTCAAGGAAGTGCTATACAAGACTGCTCTGCTGCTCTCTATGGACCGCAGGGGCCATAACCTCCTGCCCCCACCCTGGGAATGTTCCTGACTTCTAAATTTGCACCACAGAAGCAAGAGGAAGGAAAGTGTGGCGCGACACACCTCTAAGGCAGCACGCCCGTGTCCTGGCAGCTGCTGCAGCTCTGTGACAGCTTTTTCTTTTCCTCTGCCTTTCACCCTCCCTTATGCCTGAGACCAGCCAGCACCATTCTGCCTGACCTCTCCCAGAATCCAAAAGGAAAACAGCTATCAGCACCCAAGTTTAGTACACTAAGGAAGAGTACTTTCTCCATAAACAAATGAAAATGAAAACACAATCCAAAATCTATGGGATACAGTGAAACCAGTCCTGAGAGGGAAGTTCATAACACTACACCCCAAGCTGAAAAAATAAGAAAGGAAGGAAGGAAAGAGAAGAAAAGAAAAAAAAAAAAAGAGAAACTGGTAATAACTTATCTAACCCTACAACTTATAGAACTAGAGCAGTGGTTCTCAACCTTCCTAATGCCGCGACCCTTTAATACAGTTCCTCATGTTGTGGTGACCCCCAATTTCATTGTTACAAATTGAACATAATTAAAGCATAGTGAGTAATCACAAAAACAATATGTAATTCTATATGTGTTTTCCGATGGTCTTCGGCGACCCCTGTGAAAGTGTCGTTCGACCCCCAAAGGGGTTTCGACCCACAGGTTGAGAACCGCTGCACTAGAGCATGGTGTGGTTATATTTTTATTCCACATAAGCCTGAGCTCACAGTGTATGGATCCCCAACACAGGAGCTGCATGTAGAGACTGCTCCTTATCCTGGGCTGTCTGACAACACTTGTGCGAGGGTCAGGGAGGAAGCCAGGGACCCCCTATCAGGTATGCATGGTGATTGCTGTGATCACTGGTGGAGGATGGATGACTTGGGTTGCCAGCAGGAAGATCCAGTGTCTTAAAGACCAAGTGATCAGTGTAGGAGATGATTTTCCAGCTCCAGCAAACGAGTGGGTCTTCCCTATCCATCCACCTCATGGCTGAGGAGGATGGATAGGGAAGACCCACTCCAGTTGCTTCCTGGTCCTGAAATTCCTGCCCATGAATACAGGAAGGGCTCTGCTAGAGCCGACTGGGCTCCCTCCCCTCCCTTCAATGAACAAAAAGGCACTTAGGCTCTGGGCACCACAAAGTGCTTGTTCCAGATGTACCCACCAGGAGCACATCTATTTGCACTGTTCTCTCCACCTGCTGGACTGAGCCGTTTGTAACACAGCGTCCAAATGCTTCCAGTCAGCTTGTCAGGATGTGCACACAGTGGCAACATAGGCGACCAAGGCACAAAAAATGAAAACTGATCTCAAAAAGGATACTATGGCCTGGATGGTTTCAAAACACTATTTTAAACGCGAAGATCTTGATTTTGCCTCTATGTGGGACATTTTTAAGCAATGATATATTGGACCCATTTTAAAGACCTTTTTATTCCATTTGAAGCCAGGGATCCAGATCAGTTTAAAGTCCCTGAAGTGGATGGGCCATTTCGATTGTGGTTTTGTTTAAACAAATGATTGCTTAGGTCCCTTCTTAGATTATAAACAAAACAAAACAACAAAAACAAAAATAAACAAACAAACTATAGGAATCACTAGCAAGCAAGCTTAGAAAAGGTTAGATTCCACTTTACCCAAAGATGTGGCTGGAAGCCATCCCGCTTGTGCATCCCTCTAAAAGGAAAAAGGAAAGAAGCCCAAGGCCAGAAAACGGGCCTCTTTTAACATCCATGTACGCAGCTGTAGGTGGAGATAGAATCATGAGGCTGGTTGATTGATACTCATGGACTCTCATTGCAAAGGCTAGATATTTCTAAACTATCTCATTTTCTGTTTTAGTTTTGCTTTATATTATTTTGCTTTTTAAGTTTCCAGCTAAGAGATGTCCTTAAAATGA